GGGGAGGGATGGGAGGTAGGGAGGGAAGGGAAGGGAGGGAGGGAAGGTAGGGAGGGAGGGAGGGAAGGAGGGAGAAGGGAGGGAGAGGAGGGGGAGGAGGAGGAGGCGGAACCGTCGGCCCCTTCGGAGGGCCGACTGGGGCTGGGCGCGAGACCGTCGGCTCCACAGAGCGAACAGGGGCCGCGCGCGGACCGCTGGGCTCACGTCGTCATGTGTCGGACTGCTGCCTATGGCCAGCTCAAAGTCGCCACGTCCTCCTCCTTCTCCTCCTCCTCGTCTTCCTGAAGGTCCCCAACTCCTCCTCCCCTCCTCCTCCTCCTCCTCTCCTCCTCCTCCTCCTCCTCCTCTCCTCCTCCTCCTCCTCTCCTCCTCCTCCGCTCCTCCTCCTCTCCTCCTCCTCCTCCGCTCCTCCTCCCTCCTCCTCCTCCTCCTCCGCCTCTTATTTTCCTCCTCCTCCTCCTCCTCCTCCTCCTCTTATTATTATTCTTCTTATGTTTATTATTATTATTAGTATTCTTATTATTCTTATTATTATTATTCTTCTTATTATTGATAGTATTATTCTTCTTATTATTATGATTCTTATTATTAGTATTCTGATTCTTCGTCTTATTATTATTATTATTCTTATTCTTCTTCTTCTTATTATTATTGTCAGTATTATTATTAGTATTACTATTAGTATTATTATTCTTATTGTTATGATTATTATTAGTATTCTTATTATTCTTAGTATTCGTATTATTCTTATTATTCTTATTATTATTATTCTTAGTATTCTTATTATTAATAGTATTATTATTATTATTCGTCTTATTATTCTTATTAATATTAGTATTATTGGTATTATTATTATTTTTCGTATTATTATTCTTACTCTTATTCTTCTTATTATTTTTCTTATTATTATTAGTGTTCGTTTTCTTCTTAGTATTCTTATTATTATTAATATTCTCTTCTTCTTATTATTATTCGTAATATTCTTCTTAATAGTATCATTATTATTATTATTATTATTCTTAGTATTCTTAGTATTCTTCTTCGTCTTCTTCTTATTATTCTTCTTATTATTATTATTTGTATTCTTCTTATTCGTCTTAGTATTATTCTTATTCTTAGTATTATTCGTATTATTCGTCTTATTCTTATTCGTATTAGTATTCTTCTTAGTATTGTTATTATGATTATTCTTCTTATTATTATTATTCTTATTATTATGTTTCTTATTCTGCTTGTTATTCTTATTATTCTTATTATTCTTAGTAGTATTATTATTATTATTCGTCTTCTTATTATTCGTCTTTTTCTTATTATTATTCGTCTTCTTATTCTTATTATTATTATTCTTCTTATTTTTCCCCACATCATGAGTGGGGTTCTTGTTCCCCACATCATGAGTGGGGTTCTTGTTTTCCCAGAACAACCTCTCCTTCCCACCCACCTCCCGCTCCATCTTCCATACAGCACAATATTATTCCTACCGCACACACCATACCATACCATAGTTCCTACCACACATACCATACCATACCATACCATACCATACCATACCATACCATACCATACCACACCATACGTACCATACCGTACCATACCATACCATGGCGTACCATAGCATACCATACCATATCACACCAATGCCAAACCGTACCATACCATACATACCATATCATACCTACCATACCATTCCATACCACTCCATACCGAAAACCATACTAGTTACATGGTTTCGTGCCCCTCCCAACCCTCCAGGGAGGCCCCGCCTGAGCGACGAGGGTATCGGAATACCATACTATTTACATGGTTTCGTGCCCGTCCCACCCCTCCAGGCAGGCCCCGCCTGAGCGAGGAGCGTATCGGAAAACCATACTATTTACATTGTTTCGTGCCCCATCCCACCCCTGCAGGGAGGCCCAGCCTGAGCGAGGACGGTATCGGAATACCATACTATTTACATGGTTTCGTGCCCCTCCCACCCCTCCAGGGAGGCCCCGCCTGAGCGAGGAGCGTATCGGAAAACCATAGTATTTACATGGTTTCGTGCCCCTCCCACCCCTGCAGGGAGGCCCAGCCTGAGCGAGGAGGGTATCGGAATACCATACTATTTACATTGTTTCGTGCCCCTCCCGCCCCTCCAGGGAGGCCCCGCCTGAGCGAGGAGGGTATCCGAAAACCATACTATTTGCATGGTTGCGTGCCCCTCCCACCCCTCCAGGGAGGCCCCGCCTGAGCGAGGAGGGTATCGGAAAACAATACTATTGACATGGTTTCGCGCCCCTCCCACACCTCCAGGGAGGCCCCGCCTGAGCGAGGGTATCCGAAAACCATATTATTTACATGGTTTCGTGCCCCTCCCACCTCTCCAGGGAGGCCCCGCCTGAGCGAGGAGGGTATCCGAAAACCATACTATTTACATGGTTTCGTGCCCCTACCACACCTCCAGGGAGGCCCCGCCTGAGCGAGGAGGGTATCGGAAAACCATACTATTTACATGGTTTCG